AGTGTCTATAGTCTTCTCTCTGGTTGTAGTTTCTACCTGCCGGTCTTCCCCTGTTTTCCCTTGTCCTGTTCTGTGTCCACCCTCTATGTTCCTGTCGCCGAGGGCAATTATTCTTCCAGTGACCCTCCCGTCCACACAAAAAACAGACTCCTTTAACTCCCGTTAATCTCCCTTCCGCCGATCTTCTTCGTTCGGCTCCACGTTGACCTTCCCAGTGTTCGGCACTCCCTGCCGCAAAAGTTGATTTGTTACCCTTAGCTATTTTGTCATTCCCTGCTGCTTTAATGTTATCTATGTGGCGCAATACGTCCTCGCATTTGGTCGGGTTTTGTACTAAAACACTTTTAACTGTTTCCCCATTCATGTTAACCAATAATTTATTACGACACAATAAATCCTTTAGCCCTTCAAAAGTTTTTTCTGTTTTCGAGCTATCCACCCAATTATCTAAGCTCCGTACTAAGTTAGAATGAAACTCCCTAAAGTTATCATTCAGAGGTGTCAGCTCGTTCCATTTCCCCCTGTACTTTTCCTCATTGTATCCTCCATGTTTCAGAAGTAACAGTTTTACTGTCTCGTAATCGTCTAACCTTTTCCTTATGTCCTCAGTCATTAGAAATGACTGTAGATCCCCCGTCAACCTCACCTGTAATTCCGTGATCCATTCCTGTTTTGGTACCCCGTTTTGTCTTGCAATGTGTTCAAAGTTTACAATGTATTCGTCCAGTTCCTTGTCGCTGTCGTATTTAGGGAGGCATTTGAGTAAGTGATAGTTTTTGCTGGGTCTTTTTTCGTCACTATTATAATGTTGTGCTGCTCCATTTTTTATTTTGGCCAATTCAATTTCTTTATCTAATTTCTTAAGTTCCTGTTCCCTCTCTTCTACTCTTATCTTTTCTTCTCGCTCTTCCCTTCTTATATTTTCTTCTCGCTCTTCCCTTCTACTTTTTTCTTCTCGCTCTTCTTCTTCCTTTCTTCTTTTTTCTTCTCGCTCTTCTTCTTCCTTTCTTCTTTTTTCTTCTCGCTCTTCTTCTTCCTTTCTTCTTTTTTCTTCTCGCTCTTCTTCTTCCTTTCTTCTTTTTTCTTCTCGCTCCTCTTCTTGTATTTTCCCCCATTGGTCCCTTACATATGTATCTAACTCCTGTCCCGTAAATCTGAGGTCCTTTTCTCCCACCTCCCGAATTTCGGCTATAATTTCCGATATGGTTCTCTTAGCTTTGCTTCTTGTTTCTATTTATAATTATTTACCCCTCCAAATTTATATGTTCAAATACTGTACAGCTTTTCTCAATATAAGTAGAAACCGATGTTACAGGTGGTAAATAACCTGCTTTGAGATTGTTACTTGCTGTATGAGTCAGTATGACCCAACAGTGATTCCATACCCTGACTTTTCATTTTGAAAGATTCTACTCGTGGAGTAGAATCTAGCGGAAGAGGGGGGATATGTCGAGGGTATGAGAATCACTGTTGTTATGTGTAGAGCGTTGTTGTCATGTTTGATAGGGAAAAGATGTTGGTTCGAGATTTTATGTGCAGCCGTATCGTTTGTGTGAGAGTTAACCCATGATTTTTTGTTGTTGTTTATGCATGTATAATCTATGTCATTAGATTAATAATTGTAAACAATATAATACTTATAGGATTACTTGCTTGAGAGAAGAAAAAAGTAGAAGGGAAGAGCGAGAAGAAAATATAAGAAGGGAAGAGCGAGAAGAAAAGATAAGAGTAGAAGAGAGGGAACAGGAACTTAAGAAATTAGATAAAGAAATTGAATTGGCCAAAATAAAAAATGGAGCAGCACAACATTATAATAGTGACGAAAAAAGACCCAGCAAAAACTATCACTTACTTACAATGAGGAAAAGTACAGGGGGAAATGGAACGAGCTGACACCTCTGAATGATAACTTTAGGGAGTTTCATTCTAACTTAGTACGGAGCTTAGATAATTGGGTGGATAGCTCGAAAACAGAAAAAACTTTTGAAGGGCTAAAGGATTTATTGTGTCGTAATAAATTATTGGTTAACATGAATGGGGAAACAGTTAAAAGTGTTTTAGTACAAAACCCGACCAAATGCGAGGACGTATTGCGCCACATAGATAACATTAAAGCAGCAGGGAATGACAAAATAGCTAAGGGTAACAAATCAACTTTTGCGGATCACTACTCGATGAACAAGACTTGATGTATAATTTCAGAATTTGATAATAAATCACTCCAACCAAATATTAATCAACATACCAATCCAAACACTTCTGCAAGTATATTCCCCATCAATTCTCTCAGCACAACACTTAGCAGTATTCAATCCACAACAGTCAATGTAGCCCATCCGCCATCACTCTTCTCTAACCACAACGAAAACTAACGCGTCACTTCCCATTACACAATTACGTCACAACACTCTCACACAAACGATACGGCTGCACATAAAATCTCGAACCAACATCTTTTCCCTATCAAACATGACAATAACGCTCTACACATAACAACAGTGATTCTCATACCCTCGACAGTACCTGTATATTCGTACCTGTATATTTGTACCTGTATATTCGTACCTGTATATTCGTACCTGTTACACGTACGGTGGTTTATTTTATAGCGTATGCCATAAAGCCATCATCAACAGTGCATTTGGGGTCAGCTGAGTGATGTCAAACAAAACGGTTAGGTCTAGGAGTTTTGTTTCGCTTCACAGAAGGTCGTTTCCAAACGTAAATTACCGGAGCCTAGGATCAAACATTTGGTTCACATTATTTGAATCTCTGTATCTTTGCAAGTGTGTCATTTGCCAAAATATACATGTATATTTTAAAAAAGGTTATTATATCGCATTGTCCAGGTCCGGAACCAGCATGCTGTTGCGTAGCTAGGGTTGGGGTCAACCGGTGCGGTGAGCTCATGGATGGGGTCAACCGGAGCGGTGAGCTCATGGATGGTGCCAACCGGAGCGGTGAGCTCATGGATGGTGCCAACCGGAGCGGTGAGCTCATGGATGGGGTCAACCGGAGCGGTGAGCTCATGGATGGGGTCAACCGGAGCGGTGAGCTCATGGATGGGGTCACACCCCTACGCTCACAGTTTAACAACGGTTTTCTTTTTGTTTTTGTTTTTTTTAATTTTACTGATTCGATTCATGCCCTTACAATCGCCCGACCACATCGTAGTTGATATCAATGGAAAGCTTTATATCTTAAAAAAATGTAGATAGTATGGCTTCCTTTCACTTACTAAAGTCACCGAACACTTCAGTCGGCGTTGAATCACGGTCAAAGCGGGGTTGTTGTTTTTTTTTTCTGACCTAATGATAGGGTCAACTCGTTTGTGACGCATGAGGTTTTTTAATGAAGCACGCATTTGGTTTGGTTACTTGAGTGGGACAGGTGCGTGCGATCGCTGTTCCTTTTATGAAACAGTGTGTCTTCTGTAAATATGCAATTTTTAAAAAAAAAATTTGGTGTCACCCCCTGAGATGGGGTCACCTGGTGCCGTACGCATTCCCCTAGCTACGCCACTGCCAGGGTGCACAGTAAGCCTATGTACAGCATCTAGACGAGGGGGTCTCAAACTCGCGGCCCCCGGGCCATTTGTGGCCCGCAAGACGATATTTTTCAGCCCTTTACCCCATAGAAATGTTTAGTGTTAATGCGGCCGGCTCGTTTGCCCCAATCTCATATCTATAACGTGACCCTCCGCGACGGTTTCAGTCCCATCTCACTGACCAGTCAAATTCTGTTTTTTTTATCATATTTGTATTGATTTGGACGTTGATTATAATGGTAAAAACTTTGTTTAAAATCGGATTAATTTTTGTATATATTTTTATCGCATTTTATGAGACAAACATGGTTTTTGGGAGCTTAGTAATGATAACTAAAAATAAAGGTAAAAAAATGGACGAATTGAATTAACCTAGGGTTGTACATATTTTTTATTTTTGACAACATTCAAACAACAATAATGATAAAAATGTTAACATTCTATTAGTTTCTCTTCAACAAAACTGTTAACTTTAGATTAGGCCTAATTGAAATGTACATTTTTGAAAATGTGGGACGCGTAAGTCATCAAACAGCTGTTAGCAGTTGTCACAGAGTATTAATCATACAGCATACGTTGACAGCAAGACGTCGAGCAATAATGAATATCGGATTGTCGGCAGACAGACAGTCTGACTTCTGGTAGATGACAGAACACCTCAGTAACATTCGGCCAGATGGCATAAAGTCTCAAACACTTTCAGCCGAAAACGAAATTAAACCGAATGTTAAATTTGCAGTTTCGGCGGAAACCGAAATTAGTCTGAAAGTGCTCAAATGGCTACTTTCGGAGCCGAAACCGAAGTGCTTTAAACGCAGCGTCTTCGGCCGACCAGACGTCCCAAGGCTTGGGGGGGGGGGCCTCTGCCTGTAAAACCCGAACGAGCGGGTGCGAGTTGGGGTGGTCCTTGTTGGGGTAGGTCCTTGTTGGGGTAGGTCCTTGTTGGGGTAGGTCCTTGTTGGGGTAGGTCCTTGTTTGGGTAGGTCCCTAACGTGCCGCCTCGAGGTCCGGTATCGGGGTGGGCGGATGGGCTTTGAGGCTAACGCTCGACGATCCGCTGATGCCATTTCTCAACAAAACACACACACTGCGCTGCTCACCCACAGTGCAGCCGTGTGGAGACAATATAAATTGTATTACTTACTTTTGTAAACAAACGACAAGCTTTTAACCTACCCTGCTCCCACCAAACCCAACCACTTAAGCTATACAAAAATAATATATTTACGCGATGCTAAATATTCAATTACCAGGACTTCCTTTTTCGTTTTTTAATCATAAAATAATCTTTTTCATCATTCCAGCTCTGTCCGCTTACAATGTTGACTTCCTGATAAAATGGCCAGTAGATGCCAGGATCCCGTTAGAAAGAATCCCAAGAACTTAGAACTACCAAACAGTTGGTGGAACAAAGGAAGACGAGCAACTTTGCTTTAAGATAGACACAACATCCCTTCAAACTGATAATTATTCAGCGCCGTTTCATTGCAGTCAGTATCAATTGGATGTTGTTGTTTTTTTTTTTAAAGGAGATTTTAGACACCAGTAATTTGTGTCATATTCTGAGCTGTGTCTTCCAATAGCCGCATGCCTACGAGGGCTACCGTCATCATGACAGCCCGTCTAATGATACTTCCAGTTTTAGTTCTTCTCAATGGTGTATCCCCCAAGGATCTCGTGCCGCCATCTTGGATGAGAATGTGCAAGGTGAACGTATCCTTTCCCGAGCCGCCCACCGAGTCCAGACCTCGCCTGAACCCGTACGTTGCCAGCGTCAACTGCCATATCAAAGCGGACGATGGCGATCGGTGGAGGCTGATGGACCTCCGCAACTTTACGTTCACAAACAACATCAACTACCACACCGATGAAAACAACCGGACCCTCCATTACAAGATCGAGGTCACGTGCGAGAATGGCGCGAACATCTCGTTACCCTGGCCGATGAAGGTCCCCGGGCTACTGGAGCTTGAAGTCCGCTCGTGCTTGCTGTTGGATCAGTTCGCCAATTATAACGATCCCTTGGATCCGACGATACCGAACGAGCTTAGAATTCTGGACATTCGCGATTCCATGTGGGTGGTAGAAGCGGTCAATTCCATCGTCAATAAATCGAATGTATCTCTTAACATTACCAGCGCTTATGATTGCGGTCAGGACTCGACGTTAGTGGAATACATTACCAGAAACGTCTCGAGCGTCTTGCCGTCTCTCCCCGGAGAACTAGACATGGAGTCATTTTTTCAGACGCTAAACCTATCGAATCTCCCCAGTGAACTCGTCGCTGTTGTCACTGAGCAAGAGCAGACCACCCCCAAATCGAACGAGGGAGAGTCGTTCTTGGATCTGCTGCGCAAGTCTTTCAAAACCAAAACCGGATGTCATTACAAAAGGCTGAAGGTGTATGACATGAGCATCGCTTGGCTGACACCGGTTAACATGTTTGAGTTCCTCGTTCAAAATTCGGATTACCCAGTCTTGGAGGTCCTGAATTTCTCGCGTATCGGAATGACAGACTTGCCAAGGGAGTTCTCGCAGTGGAGGAAGTTCTTCCCAAAACTCATCTCACTCGACCTCTCCCACAACAACCTCTCGGCAATTCCTCTCACGGACTACCCGCCCGGAGACAACGAAGCGATCGCGTACTTTAACCTAACTTACAACAACTTCACCACCGTTAAAATGGCGCTCATCCAGTCCTGGGCCAGGATGACTAAGGTGTTTGTGGACATCGACAAAAACCCGATTCACTGTGACTGTGAGCTGGCGTCGTTCATAGGGAATTTGCGTAACGCTTCGACGTTCACAGGAAACCTCGCGCCTTACGCGTACGTGCGTCATTTGGAGTGCGCTACTCCTGAACCGCTGTCGGGGAGACAACTTCACACGCTTTCGGTGGACGATCTTTCGTGTCTGGAGTACGAGTCCCACCAGGCGGAACTCATCGCCCTGGGGGTCACGCTTTCAGCTCTCGTTCTCATGATCGTGGTCATCATCCGGTACAAGTTTGAGATACGTATCCTGCTCTACACGCGCTTGCACGTGCGGCTGCCCTGCGACGCGGATGATTTGCGTCATCAGAAAACCTACGACGCGTTCGTCTCCTACAGCAACGACGACGACGCGTGGGTGTACGAAAATCTCGTCAAGTTCCTAGAGAATCCCGGAGCGGCGCACACGTCTGCTCTTAGCAGCAATGTCTTGGCTAAGACCACGGAGTCGGAGCCCACCAAGGCTTGTAAAAGCCACAACCCTGGACACGGGGACAAATCCCAGTTCCGGTTGTGCATCCACCAGCGGGACTTTGTCCCCGGGAAAACGATATTTGACAATATAGTGGACTCGATCGAGGCGAGTCGCCACACGATCATCGTGCTGTCCCCTAGCTTCATGAGGAGCCACTGGGCCATGGAGGAGTTGAGGCAGGCCTACAGGCAGAGCTTGGTGGAGAAGACACGCCACCTCATTGTGCTACTGCTACAAAAGGTGAGGTCAAAGTAGATTTTTTTTATTGCTCAGAGTTCTATAGAACTGAGCTGTGCAACCTTTTTGTTAAAGTGTTTGTGTTATCTGTGAGATTCCTCAGCGTTCTCACCAGTAATTTAGACCAGTGGTTCTCAACTGTCCTAACGCCACGATCCTTTAATAACATTTCTCTTGTTGAGGTGACCCCCTCAACTATAAAATTCTTGTTCGTTGCTTCTTCATAAATGGGTGTTTTCCGATGGTCTTAGACGACCCCCAAAGACAACCTACAGGTTGAGAAGCGCTGCTTTAGACATTGGCGAAATGATTACAAACCACTTTGTGAAATATAATCTGGTTTTGATCGCTGGATTGAGCGTGGTTAAAAGTCATATTTAAATGTGTTATAGATCTGATTGCGCGGTCAATGCTCAACATGTATACGTTTTATGTTAGAAAAATCCAACACAGTTGAAACCATCTAAAACAGGGGGAAACAAAGTTTTGCAAATAACAGGAGTACCTTCTATCCGGACCGAGTTGGGCGGAAGGGTTGGGGAAAGGAAAGGGGGGGGGGGTAGTCCACCAAAGATGTTCGTTATGAATGGCAAACTTAGTTCTAGAGACATTTTAAGACAGTTTTAAATACATTTTTTTAAAATTAGAGTAAAAACAATCTGTTGTAATTGGTCAATTATTTCTTTAGTAAGGCCGCTAGTATTAGCAGCTCAACAGAATAGAGGATTTCAACTTCACCATTTCTAATATCTTGACACACAAATACGCGGCGCTGATCTTCACCTCCCCGCACCACATAAGACAAGCAGCGATCTAGAAAATTTGAAATTGAAAAGATAGATTTTAAAAAGGATTTAACAGAAAACTTAGAGAAAAAAAAATTTAAATGTGAAGAGAAATAAAAAGTTTTCATTGAAACGTATAGCTGCGACTATTAAAAAAAACAAAAACATAATGTAATTAATTTACAGGAGACTAATGAGCCATAGACACAGATTTCGTGTCATTTTCCCATTCTGTTCAGAAGATAATTATCGCCTTGACATTTTACTAATCGCTTCTCTGTCACAAACCTTACTCAGCTGTCAGCTAATTTATGAATGCAATTTTACTCAGATAATCAACCAAATTTTTTTTTTTTAATAATGTATTTTTTTAACGAAGTGGCTGTTCGGAACTGGTATCAGAAGTGAACGATTGAATTTAAAAAAAAAAAAATCAAAAATACTATAGTTGGGTTTGTGAGACAAAAATTCGTTTCAAATGAAAGATAATATAATTGACTACACGTTTATGAACTTAATTCTTTAGTTTAACTAAAATAAAGGACCACAAATAACATTGGAATGGCGTTAAGTCTGATGGGACCAGGGCACTGATGGCCGCTATTCGGACCCGGGTTATTTAGTACACGTTATATAGTACATGGCAGTTTGGGGGTCCACGTGTGTCTGTTATATAGTACATGAAACTTTGGCGGTCAACATGTGTCTGCTACATAGTACATGACAGTTTGGTAGTCCACATGTGTCTGTTAAATATTACATGAAAGTTTGGTGGTCCACATGTGTCTGTTATATAGTACATGACAGTTTGGTGTTCCACATGTGACTTTTATATAGTGCATAACAGTTTGGTGTTCCACATGTGACTTTTATATAGTGCATGACAGTTTGGTGGTCCACATGTGACTTTTATATAGTGCATGACAGTTTGGTGGTCCACATGTGACTTTTATATAGTACATGACAGTTTGGTGGTCCACATGTGACTTTTATATAGTACATGACAGTTTGGTGGTCCACATGTGACTTTTATATAGTGCATGACAGTTTGGTGGTCCACATGAGACTTTTATATAGTGCATGCCAGTTTTGTGGTCCACATGTGACTTTTATATAGTGCATGACAGTTTTGTGGTCCACATGTGACTTTTATATAGTGCATGACAGTTTTGTCGTTCATATGTGTGACATTAAACTAACACAATGATTTGTTTTAAATTGAAAGAAAAAATTAGCCGTTGCATTGCTAGTAACTATGATTAATTATTTTAAAAAAAATGACGATTGACTTTGCCTGTGGTAACCATACGTCGTCTTCCTTGCAAAGGTCCCCAAAGATGAAATGGACCCTTTGATAGCCAGGTGTTGTAAGACCTTCACCTACCTGGATGTGGGGGACAGTTTGTTCAAAGACAGGCTGGTCTTCTCACTCACCACCAAAGACAAGAGTGCCAGACGGAGGGAAAGGTGAGTGAACTCTCTGAAATCTGTAGTCTGTGTCTGCTCATTCGTTTTATGCGTCTGCTTATTTATGTACTTACGCGTCTGCTTATCTATGTACTTACGCGTCTGCTTATCTATGTACTTACGCGTCTGCTTATCTATGTACTTACGCGTCTGCTTATCTATGTACTTACGCGTCTGCTTATCTATGTACTTACGCGTCTGCTTATCTATCTTATCTACTTACGCGTCTGCTTATCTATCTTATCTACTTACGCGTCTGCTTATCTATCTTATCTACTTACGCGTCTGCTTATCTATGTACTTACGCGTCTGCTTATCTATCTTATCTACTTATGCGTCTGCTTATCTATCTACTTGTGCGTCTGCTTATCTATCTACTTATGCGTCTGCTTATTTATCTACTTAAGCGTCTGCTTATCTATCTACTTGTGCGTCTGCTTATCTATCTACTTATGCGTCTGCTTATCTATCTTATCTACTTATGCGTCTGCTTATCTATCTACTTATGCGTCTGCTTATTTATCTACTTAAGCGTCTGCTTATCTATCTACTTATGCGTCTGCTTATCTATCTATTTATGCGTCTGTTTATTTATCTGCTTATTTATCTACTTATGTGTCTGCTTATCTATCTACTTATGCTTCTGCTTATCTATTTACTTATGCGTCTGCTTATTTTGTGCACTTTTGTCTGTTCATTTTACTCGGCGTTTTTTCTACTTGTTCAACTGCACATACATCTGCTACTTTGACCGTACATTTGTCTGCTTATTAGACTGATTACTTATCTGATTATTTGACTGTTTATTTGACTGTTTATTTGACTGTTTATTTGACTGTTTATTTGACTGGTTATTTGACTGATTATTTGACTGGTTATTTGACTGGTTATTTGACTGGTTATTTGACTAGTTACTTGACTGGTTATTTGACTGGTTATTAGTCTGATTATTAGTCAGATTATGTGTCTGCTTATTTGACTGGTTATTTGTATGGTTATTTCCCTTTCTTGTTGTCTGCTTATCTGTTTGCGTACAAGTTGTACGCTCCCGTCCCGTGCATTCAGAATCATCACACAGACGCGCGTGTTGACCATCACTAGTGGAATAGACTTGTAAGAAAAAATATACTCTTCATAAAAAACAAACATATAATTGTCAACATAAATATACTGTGTTAAAGGACTCGAACTGTTTCGATGTGTCCATTGTTGTATTGAGTTGTTTCAACTCTCTGCAAATGGAATTTTCCAAGTCCACATTTTCATCCCATCTAAGGCTTAAATAAAGGTCCGTCATCGACCGTGCTTCTAGCGAACCTGGGTCTCCGTATCAGATCTTGGTATAGTGACGTCACAATTCTGCCTTCCAATGGACTGCTTCCCAATGGACTGCTCCCCAATGGACTGCTTCCTAATTGACTGCTCCCTAATGGACTATTCCCTAATGGACTGCTTCCTAATGGACTGCTTCCTAATAGACTGCTTCCTAATGGACTGCTTCCCAATGGACTGCTACCCAATGGACTGCTTCTCAACGGACTGCTTGCCAATGGACTGCTTCCCAATGTAGTGCTTCCCAATGGACTGCTTCCTAATGGACTGCTTCCTAATGGACTGCTTCCCAATGGAGTGCTTCCCAATGGACTGCTTCCCAATGGACTGCTTCCCAATGGACTGCTTCTTAATGGACTGGTTCCTAATAGACTGCTTTCTAATGGACTGCTACCTAATAGAAGCAGCGAATTTGGTATTCAGAGTAAATTACAAATAATTCTAAATGTTTGAAAGGAAGTATGGTTCAATAATGAGTTTAATAGCGCGTAAATATAATTCCCGATAACTACGCTAAATGATTTTTTTTTAAATAACGCAACTGCGTTTGGTGCGTATATTTTCTTTTCGGAAAATGAAATCGTCTCAATTGAAGTATGGTGTCAAAAATATTCGGTTTAAAAGTGGTTCGGAAATCAGAATATTTAATATAGTTCATGGGCGTGAAGTAAAACGTGTGCGATGACGTATGATGTAAGGAAGGCGTATAGCAAAGATTTGAATTCTTTTAAATGTGCGTTGCTTGCTCTCATGTGCTGTCAAGTAACTTTAGTAGATGGGATGCTAGCGCACTGCTGTCGCCAATGTTTGGCGGGCCATATATCTAGTTAGTTTTATGCTTCTTTAAAACCTTAAGCAGACTCGTGGATACTTTGATTCCGCCAATCTCTGATTGGAAAAGCAAAGTAAATCCACGTCTCTCCGTCAGCTGCATCTTTTGCAAAACTTTGTTCGATATGCATAGGAGCAGATGTTTGTGCTGTAGGAGCAGATGTTTGTGCTGTATGAACAGATGTTTGTGCTGTATGAACAGATGTTTGTGCTGTATGAACAGATGTTTGTGCTGTAGGAGCAGATTGTTTGTGCTGTAGGAGTAGATTGTTTGTGCTGTAGGAGCATATTGTTTGTGCTGCATGAGCAGATGTTTGTGCTGTATGAGCAGATTTGTTTGCTCCGTGGATCCTAGAATACTACTTGAAGAAATTACTGAAAATAAATTTTAAAGAACTATATATTATTTTTTATCCACAGAGTCGCCGCTAAAGAACAAAGATCCCAAATATCACTTCCGCATTTAGATCCCAGGTAAGTCTAACTTTGAATATGTCTGATGTGATTCTATTATCTGCAAAAACCTTTTATCAAAAATGGAACATCTGTTTCTATTTTGTTTTTTATTTTTTTATTTTTTTTATTAATGCGTTCGTTACTTAG